TGGGCAGTAAGGGTCGGAGAAGGGCAATCACTCATTCTTAAAACCAGCGTTCTTAGTTCTATCTATTCCCAATATATTCCTTTATTCCATTACTCGTTATATTCTAGTCAATCCAATTGGTTAAATTGTTGTTACCCAATATGGGAAGCAGCATCCGTTGATGAATGGTTATACAATGGTGTCTAAGACTAGTCATTTCTATTATCTTTTGCTTTCCGATTCTTTCTTTTTCTCTTGATTCTTTTCCGATCGAGATGTATTGATCCTTTTTATTAGTCGTTTAGAATAGAACAAGTAGTCAGATGTAATATGTTTGCTCGCGGCAATTGTGGCCTCTCGGGAGAATCGATGACTGCATCTTTGATGCACTGCTAGTACTAGTACATCTGAGAATTCTTAATTGGATAGTTGTAAATAGCCCCAGGGCTCCGTTTCCGTTGATGACTTTCCATTTTTTTCTTTCAAATTTCAACAAAGTAGGTCCGTCCCTGGTTTTTACATGCATGATTGCTAAAAGATTTATAGGGAAATAATTCTTTGATAATTTTATTTAGTGATCCTAAATAAGTAAAACCAATAAATTCATATTGAATAATGCACGAAAAAACACAAAATTTATCTACGACGAACTGAAAAAAAGTTTACAGTAATAATTATTTTGAAATAAAGAAGTGATATCAAAATTTCAAATAACTCCTCGTTTTAACATCTAATTTTAAAACTTAAAGACGAAAGCTTAAGGAATGTTAATCTTGACGAAATGTTTTTTGAAATGGTCAAATGCAGATATCTTGTTAAATGCAAATTTTAAAATAAAGCACGACAAATTTAATAAATTATGTTGTTATCAATTGGACTCGATCAAGAAAATTGATGTTTGTCGGTCCAAGAACATTTAAGACGTCTAAATGGTCAATAAACGACCCCAATAATAAAACCGGTTGACTCACGAAACTTGTTCATAATTTATCGATAAAACTAAGATGATAATTGAAAGGCCATATCAGTTAACACACAGTTAAATTTTGATTTTTCAAATACTATAAAAATTAAGTAGTGTCAATCAGATTTACAACACATTCATCGATCAAAGTTGTTACAATTTAATCATTTAATTGAATATATTTTTTAATTAAATATGATTTTTTAATCATTTTCTTTATAAAAAGCTGTATAATTTATCATCAGAACTTTTTAACAATCATTATATCCTACTTTTTTGATAATATCTGTTTTATTGACATTTTGTGTGTTGGCGAGGAAAATAAATAATATAAAATATAATTAGGGCCCTCAGCTTTATGTGGCAAGATTTGGTATATGCCCATTTTTGTTAGTTGCTGAATATTTTATTTCAGTACCACGCAATTTTTCAACTTCAGCATGCTATCTGTTATTTAAAATCAAATATAAAATAATAAAAATACAAAAAGTATCTAACAATATATAAATACCTCGAAAAAAAAATTCTCCTTGTAACGACGGAGGTTCAAATATGATGATTCTGGGTCGTGGATTGGATATTTAGATTAATTAAAAAAATTGTGAAATAACAAATAAATAAGTTAAAATATTACTCTTTTTCTAATGAGCAAATTGCATGAAAAAGTAACGTACTTTAACTTGATTTCTATTTTGGGTAACGTACTTTCAAAACTTTCATTTTGGTACCTAAGATGTAAAGTTTTAAACATTTAAGTACCCGGGTAACTAGTTGAAGTATTAACCGGTTATCATACTGATGTGGCAAGTGATGTGGTATCCAACTCGGTATTATTTGTTGACCTAGTCAATGACGTAGATTTTTTTAATCTAAAATTACTCTTTTTTTAGTCTAAAATTAGTTTTCACTGGATTACCCGGGTACTTAAGTGTTTAAAACTTTACATCTTAGGTACCAAAATGAAAGTTTTGAAAGTATGTTACCCAAAATAGAAATCAAGTTAAAGTACGTTACTTTTTCATGCAATTTACCCTTTTCTAATAAATATTAGATTATGTTGATTAAGGAAAATATTATTTTTGAGAAAACCTTTTTACATATGTTTTTAAAGAACCAAAAACTTAATACTTGAAGGTGTTATTTGTTTATAACTTGAAGAATTTAAGGTTGTTTGGTTTATGCTGAGAAATGAAAATGAGAATGAATTTTTATAATTTAACTGGAATAAAAATTCAGGTTTTTAGAGGGATGAGCTGATTATATTATACTAGAAGAGTATTTGCGCAATGCAGCAAAACACATCTCGATTTTAATGTTTTATTTTATTATTTGTTTCTGTCGATGTTATTATATGATTTTATGCGTTTTTAAGAAAACAATAATGATTTTAATTTTGAATAAAATGTAAATTTGAATATATCATAAACATTTGGAAAAAAAAAATATATCAATGTTAATATCAAATCAACTATTTAAAAGTTCTCATTTTTTATTTAATTTATTTTTTAATAATGAAATAATTTATTTTTGGTTTAATAATATAACATTTTATAAAAATAATAATTAAGTATTTTGTTGGAACTCAATGATTATCTTAATTATATTTTAGATTTTTTATATTTAAAATGAGATATTTATCTTGTATTTGATTATGTTTATCTGCAGTTAGTCACATGAATTCAGATATGGAGTTTTAATAAGTTGTACATACACACATTCTACTTGTAATCTTGAGTTTTAAGTAATATATGCATTAATAAACAGTAATTTACGCATAAAAAATAATTTTTAAGAGTTTTTATCAAATGCTTTATAATATAATATAGATAAAACCAAACAATTTTGATTTTAATTTTTATTGACTACTGCTTATTTTGCCTCTAACTAAATATAAATATGTGTTTGTTTACGGTTTAACCTAATCAATCAATTAACGTGTTACCTTTTAAACCACTAGAGTTGTAATTTTCACATTCAATCAATGCTTTTACGTTTATAAATTAGACCATTATGTTATAATGTTTATTTATTAGTAGTAATTATTAAATTTTTTTTATTATAGTATATATTTTATTTTTATATTAAGAATGTTTTAGATATTTGATTAATAGTAATTAAAAAATTCATTACACTATATGTCAAAGGGAAGTAAGGAATTTTAAGGGGGGAAGTTCAAAAAACTAAATAAACTATTTTTTTTAAATAATTTAATTCTTACATTATTATTTTAAATAAAAAGGTCATTAAATCTTTTCATTTTGAATGATTAAGTCCTTAAATTATATTTTGAATAAAAAAACCATCAAACTTTTTTGATTAAGTCTCTGATTTTTTTTAATAAATAAGCATTGCACTCTTAAAAATTGATTACCTACTTCATTTTAACCTAAAAATGTTATATTAACCGACTAATAAAAATTCGATAGTTTGTTTATTTTTAAAAAGTTCAGGGTCTTAATTTTTTAAAATGTGAAAGTTTAATGATTTTTTCATTCCAAAAAATAATTTAGGGACTTAATAATTTAAAACCATAAATTTTAATTGATTTTTTATTAAAAAATATTTTAAAAACTAAACCATTTAAAATATGAAAGTTTATTGGTTTTTTTTAAACGTTTTGAAACTATCAAGTAGGTAACATGTGTGTTTTTGTTAAAACCATGAAGTTTGGTTTCAAAGTAATTAATATTTAATATTACATTTTGTTGTCTCAAAATAGATCATTATTGGACTTTTTGTTTTAATGTGGGAGAATAATTTTATAAAAATGAACCTTCTATTTTTTTAAAAGTTAAATTATTCCAAACCTTTTATTCAACATATAAAATAACAGCTAATAATTGATCATTTGGTATGTAAGAAAATGCATTTGATATATGAGACAAGTTATAACAGAAATATATCAATAAATTGTTACAACATTAAACTAAAATAAGATGGAATTAACTTAAACAAAATGCATTTTTATCCTATCAAAATAGATAGAACAGAAATAAGGGACCATAATTCATTCATTCATGCATCATAAAGCATCTCCAATGGACGTTTTATATGAACCCATTATTTGTACTTTTTTTACCAAGTCATTTTTAACTTTTCAAATTAATAAACTACACATTCTTAGGGGTTGTTTACCAAACACTTATTCGGGTAAGTGAACACCGAGTCTCATTACCTTACCGGATGGATATGGTAAGGACTAAAAATCTTACTCAGTAAGAACGAGACAAAGACCAAGAGTTTTACCCGATAAATGAGGACGACGACTCTTACTACGGTAAGCGCTTAGCGGATAAATTGTTGCATACGATATCGTTTTAATGGACTAAAATCTTACCTGGTAAGTAAATGATAGTGATAAATTTACTGATAAGTGTTTATCGGGTAAGTATTTGGTAAATGGTCTCTTAGTCTTATAAGAACCCATTTTGTGTCTCATATATAATATAAGTTATATCTATATCTCTATATATATAGATATTAATTATTATATTAGATAAAAAATTCAAGAATATAAGAATACATAGACTTGGGATTATGTGAATCTAAAGGTTTTTCGTGAGATCCATAAGACCAGTTTATGTTCATTGATCAACTTTATAAGCTAATAATCTAATGGTCTAAAGTTACACGGTGACAATTTTATGATTATTAAGAAGTCTTGTGGTAATTTTGTGATTATAAATATTCAGATTGTAGATTTAATCTAAAGATTAATAATTAGTTTTATAAGTTTCACAAAAAAACCTTTAATCTCACATGATTCCAAATTGAAACGATTAGGAAGGTTGTTATATGATAAATAATATAAAAAGAAATGGTTAGGAATTGTTTTGGAAATTTAATATGATTTGAACGTGTGTAAAGGCACAAACCCCCAAAGGAGGCTCGTAGAAACTCTCTGTTTTCAAATAAGAAACAATCAACGTGGTAGTCAACAGTCAACGCACAACCCTCTCCTTCTTCCCCTCCTCCATGCAGCGCCACTTCCACGGCGCCATCGATTTCAAAGTTTCTCATCAAAACCCAGAAACCCTTTCAAGCATTTCACTCTCTAATGGAATTTATCAACCTTTTTACACCCATTTTCCTCTGTTTTCTCTGTTTTCAGTTTAATGTCTCCTTTTCCGATCTCGCCGCCGATAGAGAAGCCCTCATCAGATTCAGCTCCGTCGTACAGGGAAACACAATCCGGTGGAACAGTTCCGACCCATCGCCGTGTTCATGGACCGGAGTATTATGCGATAACGCCACCAACCGTGTTACCGGCCTCCGCCTACCAGGCGCCCGCCTCGCCGGAGAAATCCCACCCAACTCCATTGGAAACTTGACCAAACTCCGTAGACTCAGCCTCCGTGGAAACCTCCTCCGCGGCGAAATCCTACTGGACCTGGAGAATTGCTCGGAGTTGCGGTTCATCTATTTGCAGAACAACCGATTATCCGGCGAAATCCCAGCGACCTTTTTTAGGCTCTCTAATTTAATCCGAGTAGACATCTCCAGCAACAATTTTTCCGGCGAAATATCGGCCAGTTTCAACAATTTAACCAGACTGACTCATCTTTATCTAGAAAACAACCAATTCACCGGACCAATTCCTGATCTGAGCAGTGAATTCTCACAATTCAACGTCTCTATGAATAACCTCAATGGTAGAATCCCTCGCCGCTTTGCCAATCTCTCGGTCAATTCATTCACCGGCAATCAACAGTTATGCGGGGCCCCTCTAAGTTCTTGCCCAAATGAAAGCGAAAGCAACAAGCTTTCCGGTGGAGCAATCGCCGGAATCGTAGTCGGGTCAGCTCTGGGATCAATTCTTATCATTGCATCAATTTTCTTTCTATGTAGAAACTGTCACAAATCAAGAACCTCAAGGCAAGCTGTTCAAGATGCAGCGTCATCAATACCACCATCACCGGAGAAGCCACCGGCATATGACTTCCGGAGTCCTGATCATATTCTACCAACTGATCATTCTGGTTCAGATGGAGGGTATTCTGCTCGTCCAGATAATAACGACGAATTAACGTTCTTTGGGGAAGGTGGTTTCTTGTTGGATGATCTTTTGCGGGCGTCCGCAGAGATGCTCGGAAAAGGGACTGTGGGTACAACTTATAAAGCATACTTAGACAATGGTGGTCAAGTAATTGTGAAGAGACTTAAGAACGTTTGTGTTTCTAAAATGGAGTTCACAAAGAAAATTGTTTACTTGGGGAAATTGTACCATGAGAATCTGTTGCCCATTAAAGGGTACTATTATGGGAAGGAAGAAAAGCTTCTGGTTTTTGATTTCATCCCCATTGGGAGCTTGTCTTCAGTCTTGCATGGTAAGTTGTACTATTGTGCTTTAAACTTGTACTCTGTTTTCTTGATTTCTGGTTTTGGGGTTAATTTGCGTTCTTGATTTCAGGGGAGGAAAGATCCCAATTGACATGGGAGATCAGAAGTAGAATTGCTTTACAGATTGCTTCTGCGATTGAACACCTTCATTCTCACAATCTTTGTCATGGAAACATCAAATCGAACAACATTCTTCTCGCTAATGGCTTTCAAGCCTCTGTATCGGAGTCCGGATTGATCCAACTTGTTACCTCTTCCACCCCGAACTTATCAGGGTATCGTGCACCGGAGGTTATCGACACCCGGATAGCATCCCGAGAGGCGGATGTATATGGGTTTGGAATACTTTTGCTTGAACTGGTAACGGGTAAAGATCCGACTGTTCTAATGAACGAAGAAGGGATCGATCTTCCGAGATGGGTTCAGGGTGTGGACGAATCAAGGTGGAGCTCGGAGGTTTTTGATCTGAATTTGCTTACGAATCCGAATGATGAGGAGAATATTGTTAGGTTTTTGCATGTTGGCATTCGTTGTGCTTCTCAGGTTCCAAAAAGACGAAGTTCTATGATGGAAGTGGTGCAGCGGATCAAGAAAATATGCAAAGATTGAAGGGTTTTTTTTATGTGTTTATAATTCCACATTTGGAATTTTGGTGTAGATTTGTTCAAGATTGGTTAATGGAAAAGAAAATATGAATTTTTTGTTGATTGATTTGAATGTAAAGATTGCATTTTCAGAATTGTAGTGGAAAAATAGTAATCAAATCAATTGTCAAAAAAGAGAGTTCAAATTTATGTAAACTATGATAGTTATCTTATAATTTTAAAACTGTAAAGATAAAAGGTGTTATTTTTTTACAACCCACATGGACCAAATTTGCAGTTTACTCTGAAATATACTTTTATCGAGAATTTCCGTTCGTTTATATATTACGTATGAGATTCAAACGGGAGTTGGAATTACACAAATTTATAAATTTTATATTTACACAGAATTTTACGAAACGAGAAATATCAATTAACTATGACAAATAATTTCAACGTAAAGAGACAATCTTTGAATAATACTGTGTAATTTGGTTTCCATTTAACAAAATCATATATTTTAAGTAGTTTTTCTTATGAAATTAAAAAACGTTTAAGAAAACAATTTTAAAAACATGTCATTTTAAATTTTGAGTAAATTACGGATTCGGTCCCTGTGGTTTGGTGGTTTTACGAAAATGGTCCCTCAACTTCATTTATTACGAATTAAGACTCATCATATGTCATTTTATAACAAATTGGTCCCTTCTTTTAATAGTCATTCAGTTCCTTCGTTAACTTTAAGGCCATTTTTGTCCTTGTACTTCTTTTTTTATCTTTACTCAAGGGACCAATTACATAAAGACCACACAAACCACATAGACCAAATCCATAATTAAGTTTAAAAAATAAAAAATATAATTTTTTTACACTTTAATTTTATTAAATTAATTATTTATTATAATTTAGCATCTATCAATTAATTATTATACTTTAAGTTTAATTCTAATATATAATATATTTTCTTTCAAAAAAAAATATGTATTAACATATGTATACACGCATGCGTGCAAACACATATATATACGTAGTGAGGTTCAATATTATAAGGGAAACTCATATCCATCAACTATTAGATTAAATCATTCAATGTTTGTCATTAAACAAACATTTATAACAATATTTTTTTAATTAAAAAACCTTACCATCCCTAATTTTTATTTGAAAAATAAATAAAAAGCAAGCAAAATTAATTACACCACATTGATATATTTTTTCATCTTTTTTTTCCAACGTTTTCTCTTGAACTCAAATTCTATCTCTCAATGCAAACTAAAAAAAAACCGGAAAATCATGGAAAAACGGATAAAAAAAAAATCAATATGGATGTCAAATTAGTAAAAAAAATATGATTGTTCTTTTTGGTGTAATTTATTTCGCTCGATTTTTGTTTATATCTTGTCTTTTTTCGAATAAAAATAGGTGGATAGTGAGGTTTTCTTAATTTAAAAAAATTTATTGTAAACGTCCATTTAATTAGATTCATTAAATCAGTTAATCTAATGATCGCTAATTTTATGTTGAATCTCACTATATGTGTGTATCTCTGTGTGTGTGTGTGTGTGTGTGTTCGTGCACGTATAGATGTAAGTAATATATATATATATATTTTTGAAAGAAAATATATTGTATATTAAAATAAAACTTAAAGTATAATAATTAATATATATTAATGTATAGTAATTAATAAATTTAATAAACTCAAAGTATAGAACAAGTAATATTTTTAGTTTATTTTTTAGACTTAATTAGGGATTTGGTTATTGTGGTTCGTATGGTTTTTACTAAATTGGTTCCTCGAGTAAAGACAAAAGAAGAAAAAAGAACGAAAATGCCCTCAAGGTTAACGGAGGAACTGGATGGCCGGTTAGAGGGAGGGATCAAGTCGTTATAAAACGACACACGACAAGTCCTAATTTGTAATAAATGAAGTTCTGGGACCATTTTCGTAAAAACCACCAAACCACAGGGACCAAATCCGTAAATTTCTTTTATATGGTCATCTATTATTAATTAGTTTTTATCATTAGTTTATAAATTAACTTTATCAATAAGAGTAAGTTTATTTGCTAACAACTAACTTATCAATCAACATCTTAATTTTTTTTATTTTTATGTGTTTGTGACGAGCAGGTGCAAAAGCATTATATACACGGAACTAATTAATGAAGCTGGTTAGTAGGGTCATGAACGTTAAGATATCTCATAAATAGAAATGGCAAGACCTCGATGCTTGGTATGAAAGGATTACAATTTATACGCCAAATGGGATTTTCCGATTTTCACATTTGAAATTTTGATTTTTCATTTAGATGGCGTTTGTTTTTTAAGAGGTGTTGAAGTCTGAATTCTGAATTCACTTCTGATTTTTAAGAGGTGGTGCTGAAGTATGAAATCTGAATCAATTAGAGTGTTTGTTTTTTGCGTCTGAAATCTGAAGTTTGAAGATGAGAGATCGAGAGTTGATATGGATCGACAGTTGACAGAGTTGAGAGTTGAGAGATCGAGACAAAATAGTTGATCCAGAGAAATCGAGCGCAAAGAGATCAGAGTAGGTAGACGACGATTTGGAATAAGAGGTAATAAGAGGTTTCTCAACCACTTAAATTTTCAGACCTAATAAGAGCTTTTAAGCTCTTAATTGAAAACAAAAAACAAACACACTGAATCCTCTTATGTCTGACCTCTTATGTCTGACCAATTCAGACTTAAGAGGACATTAAGAGCTTTTTTTATTAAAAACAAAGAGCCCCTTAATATGTTTGGTATGAAATTAAGTTGGATTATCAATAATTTATGAACTTGTTTATTTTATATTTGTTAGATCAGGCCGTAATAGAAAATACAAAGAACTTAATTGGAGCAGAGTTTAATCCATATATGAGCCAAGTAGATATATATGGTTGGTTCCAAAAACAATATCAACTGTATGGTAATATATATGCAATTGAACAACCTTAATAGCCATGCCAAAAATGTTAAATTAAACAAAAACTTGAATAATGTTTGAAGATCATTGAAATCCGAGACTGGAATTAATGAACGAATTTGAACTAGCTACGAGATTAGTTCCCGATCAGCACACAAGCCCTTGGTCCAACTGCATGTGGTGGTTTAGCTTGTGTGTCATAATAATTCTAGGACCTGACCCTCTTAACAGCTTCAAGAACATCATCGCATCTCACATGGTCACCACCTAAAAATATGCACATAAAAACATAATCTAGACATAAATATTTACGACATAAATATGTAAAACAATGATAATCATTTTGTAAGTTTAAACAAACCTCTGCGAGCAGTAAGTCTTTTAGATTCATTACCAATATTTTCAATATCAGCACCGACCATGCCATCAATATATGAAGCAATTGCTTTGCTTTCCTCCGTGGTTAAGTCTTTCATGTATATACCAAAAATCTTTCGCCTACCATCTTCGTCTGGTTTACCCATTGCTATTGTGTTGAAGAATCGGCTTGATCCCATCAAAGTTGAATCCAGTGTTGCAACACCTATAGACGTTAGTAGCAGCTAGTCCCAATATCATGATTTCATCGTCTTTGACCTTATTCATCTCGTTGAGAAGCTAATACAATTAAGAACACATGGCATGTTCGTTTAGTAACGCTAAATATCTTAGGAACACAAGAACCACCCCTTTTCTAAGTATTCATGAGGAATATAAATAATCATTAATATTTGTGACGACATTTATCATGAATATTTTATCACGTTATTCACCATGAATACCCAAAAAAAGGGTGGTTCCTGTTCCTGAAGCCCCAATCAACAGAATCCCTCTAGGTAATTTTGCCTTAAGTTTCATGTTTTTACCATCTTCTTGAAGCATTAAGACAGCCTACAAAAGTTCAAACTACTGCAGGATTAATCAATAATTAGCCAACAAGACCATGTATAAGATGATAAACTAAAGTAGGTCATAAACAGCCATCATGATGTGTTAAATACCTCACCAAGTTTAGCTTTGGGAGCATCAACACTCTCCACATCATCAAATGTTCTTTTTGGCAATTTTGTCATCTATGTCATTCTAGCATAAATAGGTTGACCAACATGCTTATTAAATGAAAACAAAATCTTGAACTTCCTGGGGCCCAGTGCCAATACATCAGACAAGAAATTGTCCATTGATCTAGTGTGTTCGCCTTCTCGTTCAGCTTCTTAATAAACTCATGAATAGTGTCTCTCATTTTTCTTATATGATCTTGCAGCCACTTGGAAACTGATGCTTTTGATGACTTTCTTGATCCTGAGTGGCTTGGTGGACTTTCAGCATCTTGATCACCTAAACTGGTCCTAAAGAGTGAAAGAGAAAATCCCACATAAAAAAACAACCACTCATGTTCTTGGGTGAATCTTTCTTTTAGCAGCTTGCATATTATGGGCATACACATTTATACACATATGAGTATATATATATGTATAAGCATAAGTTACATACATTGAAAATATTGCATTGTATTACGAGTTTGTAGATCATGTAGTTCCAACTCGGATGAGGTATAGGGCCATGTCGAAGGTCATGTATGATGTACCAACATGAGATTCCAAACCGGCCCCAAAATTTTTGGGACTCAATTATATATATTTTGAATTAACATTAATTATCTTAAATTAATGAATTGGCATGTATCTCATGGATCCTATAATTTTTGGAGTTCTTAAATGATTAAACACACACACACACACACACACACACACATATATATATATATATATATATATGGAATAGTTCAAACGAGAACATTCATGTTTTACGAAAAATACGAGAACACTTCTGGGCCTCCAAATTAATTAACACGTGATAAAAAGTAGAATAAAAAAAAAAATTTAACACATAAAAAAAATAGAACAAATGAAGATAAATTAGTATTTGTCCATAATTTTCGGTTATCTTAAATTTATTTTTATCCCTTACATTTTGCTATTATCTCCGGAGACTTTTTAGGTTGATGCGTCTTGTGTCGATAATATGTGATAATGATATGATTTTGCTGTGATATTAATGTGATAATGATTTGATAATTTGAAGATTGTTTATGATATGATTTTGTTTGTGATAATTGTCTAATAATTATGTGATTTTTATTGTGATGGGAATGCAATAATGTTGTGATAATCGAAAACCAACTATGATCATGTTTACCTTAATCGAGATGTCTGTTAATTATGTGATTCTGTTGTGATAATTATTTGATACCGGTCAATGTATTATTTGTATGTGATTTTAAAGATAAAGATGTTACTAAAATTACATATAAATACGAAATTAATCATATGATTATCCTTATTTAATTACTTCATTTTCTTTTAATTTTAATTCTGACTTAAATATTTAGAGACCCATAAATGTTCTCACATTCTTGTAAAACAGAGATGTAGATAATGAGATATATTCGAAATTAATCACATGATTATCCTTAATTAATTACTTTATTTTCTTTTAATTTTAATTGTGGCTTAAATATTTGAAGGTCCATATATATGTTCTCGTATTCTTGTAAAATAAAAATGTTATAGTTTGAATCTTTACGCACACATACATACATATTGATAGTTATATTTTCTTGGTTAAAAATTTAAGTTAAAAAGTCTTTTATCTTTATATTTTGTGAATAAATATGTTTACTTAACCTATGTTCTATTTTGTAGAGTCCAGCCCAAAAAGAAAAGCAAAAACCCAAGTTTTGGCCTATCTTTTGTGGACTTCATCAAGCCCAAAGAGAGCCATATCCTCTCCACATTTTCATCGACCAGAAGCAGTTTTCGATTGGGGAGGCGGACAACAACAGTTCGTGGGATCGAGGGAGAAAAGGCAACAACATGTCGTGAGCGAAGACAGCAAGGGGGTCGTCTGGGTTCGATTGGAGAGGCAAGAGGAGATCGATCAATTGGGCGAGGACCACGATTTTCTCATCAATCTTCTGTGATTCTTTCGGTAAATCCTAAAATCTTTAGAATCAGTAACCTAGTTTAGCCATGTGTTGCTAATTTATTCATTCCAACATTGATTTAATTAGGTTTTGATTTGTTATTGCTTTGAGATTTCATTGTAAACATGTTTGAACAAGCTTATTTGCTTGATTTCTGAACTTAATGTTAATCATATTTGGGTTTTCAATTAGTTTAGCTAACTTATTGGAATTCTCTTTATGAAATGGTTATTAACAAATTTAGATACGTAATCGTCTTATAATTTTGATAGAGTAACGCTAATATTCATTTGGTTTTGATAAGGTTCGCAGATTGAATATTTGAAATCTCGCGATTTAAGCCTCGATAAGTCGAGCTTATGGCTTTGAATTGGTACTTTTTCTAGTCCGGTAAAACTAATCACATCTATGAGTTTAAGAGCTTATTTAAACTTGTATTTGTGATTAAGGGTTGATTAAAGAACTTATTTTAATCAAAGATTATCTATGGAAAATTTGGGTCGTTAGAGTTTGTTAACGATAAAAACCAATTCGGGCTTGTCCTTTCCGTTTACATTTTTGGAATCGATGATAGGCACTAACATCTTAACCGTTATTGAATCAATGTTGGGTCTTTAATAAATTGTTTTAATTTATATTTTATGGCATGTTTAGAGTAATTAATCAAATCCAACACCCCCCTTCGTAATTATTAGTTTTTACGTTTTCATCGTGTACTTGATTCGCTAGTCGTACAACGTTAGACCGAGTCTCTGTGGATTCGACAAGACTTACACTACTGTCATTAATTGGAATTTATTATTTGGTGTACTCGGCTACCGTCACATATAATACAAATTACTATGAGATATAAATTATAAAATAAAATATTGTTATAATATATATTTTATAACTTTTAATATATATTTTTAATGAGTTATGAATTAACGTGTATATATAATAAAATATTGTTATAATATATATTTTATAATTTTTAATATATTTAATACATATTTTAAATGAGTTATAAATTAACATATATATATATATATATTAA